AGGGGGTGTTGTTTTGTTTTGTTATTGTTATTTTTTTCCTTTTTTTGGGGAGGGGGTGTTTTGTTTTGCTTTGTTTTGTTTCGTTTGGGAGGGGGGGGTGCATCTGAGTGAGGTGGGGGAGTAGGGTGTTCTTTGTTTTTTGTTTTTTTTCTAGGGGTGCGTGTCTATCTTTGTTGGTGTTTCATTGGCTGCGAGTTCGGGGGAAGAGGTCGAAAAGGGATGTCGGGACGGAAGGGGGGGGGGTTATTAAGGGGAGACCAGGGTTAGGAAAACACAAGTAGATTGTTCCCCTAAAATGTTTCAACACTGTTTGGCAAATGCAACTCTGCAGTTAAGGCTAACGTAACTGCACTCCACCACTTTATACATTTTCGTTTTACTTTTTTATAATTTGAGAAAAATAATATGTAGACTCTCTGTTCCGTTACGTAAAAGCAGAAGAAACAGGTCATTCAAAAATATAATGACAAGCTGAAAATAAAAAGAATAAATAATGTTGCAGTTGGTGATAAGATTGTATCAGTTGTTGACAGGTCTTAGAAAAACAGATAGCCCGTACCTGGCCGCTGTGTCGATCACGCTGACGAGCAACTTGACGTAGCTATTCACGCTGAAGTCGTTCTCGCTGCCATCAGAGTGAGCCTCAAAGGCATCGTCGAAGAAAATGTGAGCTGAAAAGGCGCACCAAAGAAAAAAATTAAGATGAAATTCTTCAGTTGCTTGTTTCATCGACTCCACAAAGCTTGATCTTGATTTGAATTGTGAGGTAGATCCCTCTAAATTTACATTCTATTAATTGCAATGTGCCCCCCAATTTCGGAAGGAATGATCGAACTCGCCTTATTTTTGGTTTCTTTCGGGGGTGAGTGCTTTGCCTAGGAAGGGATATCCCTCTTGTCTAGTGCATGTGGGCACATACGGAAAGGGTAAGGTGATTGGATTCAAAGCCTGGAGTCATGTAATTCAAGACACGAGAACTTACCCTCAAATTCATAGTAGTCAGGATCTCTGATGTTGAAAAACAGTTGAGCGTTCCGCCTAGCACTCTGATCACTGTCCAGTCTGTACAAATGACCAAAGATGGTTATTATTAACCTAACTGTACTGTGGTGATTATATAATTGCTGACTTCAATCCCATCCACCCATTGACACACAAACGCGTACACATACACATGCACGTGCCAGCATTCCATACACACACACATACATACATACATACATCACACACACACACACACACACACACACACACATACATACATACATACATACATACATACATACATACATACATACATACATACATACGCATCTTCGCCACTTCGTTGTCTGTTTCATATAATACACTTTCACTGCTCTCTCTCTCTCTCTCTCTCTCTCTCTCTCTCTCTCTCTCTCTCTTTCAGTCTCTCTCTCTCACACACGCACTCTCTCTCTCTCGTCCTCTCTCTCTCTCTCTCCCTCTCTCTCTCTCTCTCTCTCTCTCTCTCTCTCTCTCTCTCTCACTCACACACACACACACAAACACTCACACACACACACACACACACACACACACACACACACACACACATAAACACACACACACAAACACAAAGCTGGTCTTTTAGAAGAAAAAAGGTTTGAAAAATAAAGACCTAAAGATAGATTTCAGCATCTGCACCATCTCGTTCTCTGTCTCATGCCACATGGTGGCACAGATGTAGATGACCGGCGTGGTGTCACGGCGGAGTTTGGTTCGAGCCGTGGCTAGGTCAAGGTCACCTACGTCATCGCCTTGCTCTTGTTCCCAGGTCGCGGTGGACTGCATGGTAAAAACAAAGTAAGTGAATGGGTTTGGCGCCCTTTTAAACACTGCAATGCTACTTAAAGGGCCAAAGGGACTGAAAAGCCTTGAAAACTCCGTACAATGACTCAAATGAAAGCCCAATTGGAGATTCGAGCCAGGGTCATCCGGTCAATAGTACAGATGATACCAACTGTGCTAATGGAGCGCCTGAACTGTATGGAATTTGGAGAAACGGAAGAACTTGCAGATACCTTATTTGTCCTTGTTATTTTCTTGTTTTATGTCGTTGATTGTTTTGGGGGGTGGGGGGTTGTCGGTGGGGGGTGGGGGGTTGTCGGGGGGGGGGGTGCTATCTAAATGTCTTGTTTATTTTCAATTTATGTTAAAAGATGTTTTTACTCATGTCTACAGTGCGCTACAACGAAGCTTTTCTGCTAAACAATAAATGCCTGTAAAGTGGGGACTTGGTATAATTTTCCAGCGACCCAGCTAGTGACAACAGCTTGATTGAACATACAAAATGTGCACCTATCACTTACGTGGTATACTCAATACATGAAGAAAATAACGTCATTGCACACCGGACAGGTCCATACGTGTTCAGTTCCTCTAAGCCCCAAAGCCCGGAATGTATCCATACCGATTGTTCCAGTGGCTGTTTGATTATGGCGACATCTTTCCTTTTCAGATAATCGTTCCTTTCTTCCTTCTCCCCTCTCTATCCCTATTTACCGCATCCTGATGATTGCGTGGTGTTCCGCTGTCTCCCTGTCTACCTCGTGTAGCAACTTTTCCACCAGGGTCTTCAACACTTCTCCTTTGTCAAATTTCACTTCACCTTCAACAACGGCACTGCCTGCCAGTCTATCAGCCTCCTCATTACCCTTCATCCAGAGTGCCCAGGAAACATTATCCACGTGATGGCTCTTAGTGATGAGTGTTGTATTGGGTTCATCGATTCACTCCGAAGCATCCCTTTCTCAACCATTAAGGATGCACTGGGAGTCAGTGACAATAATGAGACAGGTAGTTCTTAGTCTGGCATTTTAAAGCTAGCCAAGCGCTCTTGTTACGGCCTCAATCTCTATTTTCATGTTTGAAGTTGTTCATTCTATGGCCCCTGACATGCTATGAACCTGTTTGTTCCCACTATACACCACAAAACCCCACCCACTTCTCTCACCCCTTCTGACCGATCCATCCATGTAGATCACTGGGTCCTCTGGCTTAGAGTGCTCCTCAATTAAATGTCGCATGTCATTGTCGTTAATGACAGCAGCACATTCCCGTCTTTCACGACCCATAGTGTTGTGAACGTTGGCCAAGCTTCTGCAATCGACTCTCAGCGCCTCATTATCGAATTAATAGTACCACAATTTGATTAAAACACGAAAAAAAATACATTATATAAAACTAACACTTGTTTGAATCGGTAACACCAGGGAATTTCAGTCAAAACTCTTACAAAGCACTAAAAGGGAAAGGGAAATTTATTTTTACCTTCTGATCACGTGGTTCGTAATCATCCCGTCTTCTGTTACCCATGATGGACTGCTCCACGAGAATACCGCAGTACAAGGGGTTCACAAACAGTCTGTAATATTTTGAGAAAATAGAAGGGTATTGACACAATAACGACCATTCAGTGAATGGAAAAACCAAACCAAGAGAGACAGACAAAAACGACGTATAGAAAGACATGAAGAAGGGCCAACCAGAGGTGCCCCTCAATCACTCATAGTCTGTATCAGAAAACACGTGACAGTTTACATACAATACACAGCAGACAACGTTTGGTGCCTCACAGACTGTAACGCACTATTTAATCATGCCACAGTCTGTAACGGACTATACAATGACTCTAAAACCTGTAGCGAATAGTACAATGAAATCATGTCGCAGTCTGTAACGCACAATATAATCGTGCCACAGTCTGTAACGGACCACACAATATTATACCGCGGTCTGTAACGGACAATGCAATCATTTCGGACAATATAATCAGTTCATAGCCTATAACGGACAATGCAATCATTTCACAGTCTGTAAGGGACTATACAATCATTTCACAATCTGTTAAGGACATTACAATAATTTCACAATCTGTTAAGGACATTACAATCGTTTCACAATCTGTTAAGGACATTACAATCATTTCACAATCTGTTAAGGACATTACAATCACTACATACTATGTAAGAGACAGAAAATGGCGGTGTACTGATAGTTCTTCTTCTTACCAACTAACCATGGGGGTTCATAATTCGTAAACAGCATATATCAGATGATACACGGGGGTTCTGAAAACAATACAGTAGTTTGTTTCAGCCAATGCAGGTGGGGAGATACCGACACACAGATAGATAGATAGATAGATAGATAGATAGATAGATAGATAGATAGATAGATAGACCTACTTTTCCGTTCGTGCCATTCTCTCTGCCCGTGACCTCCACACGTGACCAGTGACGTAGAGGAATGTGAAGTAGGAAGCCACGCCCAATGCCACCCAATGGTACTCGAACAAGTTGTCTAGATGCGTTGCCAAGGAGACGTTATGAACGTTGTAGGCCCAAGAGGCGGCACAGCCAAAGAAAGCCTGAAAATCCATGTGGTAGTGTAAAAAAAGACAAAGTCGAAAGTGAGGTGAGAAGTAAACTTTTCATCATCACCAATTCATACCCAAATGGACGCGGAAGTTATAGATCTAGCCCATACCATCATCATCATCATCATCATCATCATTATCATCATCATCATCATCATCATCATCATCATCACACCATCATCATCATCATCATCATCATCATCATCATCATCATCATCATCATCATCATCATCATCATCGCCTTTCACTTTATCAATCCTTACTCAAATGGCCAAGGCAGGTATAGTCCCTAATAGCCTGTTCCTTTGTTAAGAATCACGACGACAAGACTGCAGTCTCTTCTACCTGTGTTCTCCAAACAAACAAAATTACGCATAAAAGGCAGCTTGTAAGATCTCGTTCTTACTGAAAGTTTTAGACAATCTTTAAAAAAATTTTTCACACAACAAGGAACGGCATTACGCAAGGGTTAAGATCCAGCACAGCACAAAACTTTGTTGCGTTGCCGTATTTTAAATGGCGTTTAATTCAGCTGAATGTATTCGCAGTATCTATTCGGAGACGTCTCCGACGGAGATAGACCAATCAAAATGCTTTGTGCCTTTAGACCAAGTAAATAAATCTGAGGGGTGACATTTTGACCCATAATTTAATATTTTGCTGTTAAGTTTGAAATTTTCTTGCTACTAATTGACTGGCGACAGTTTTAGTGGCTACATATGAGATCTGCAGCAAACAATACGCCCCCCCCAAAAAAAAAAGCAGTGCATCTGTGTGCGGGAGTGTGTCTCCGGATAACTCCTAGGTGCTCGCTGGAGACGTCTTCCGAATATCTCCTGTCGAATGTTTTCCTTACCTCTATGTCCCCGGACCTGGTGTATGAGAGGCACAAAAGGCCGAAGGTCACTGGGGTGACCAGGCTGAGGGGCAGAGCGAAGCAAGGAGATTGAAGTAACACTTTGCACGCGGACTTGCCCACCTGTTGAGTGACATACAGGGGTGGGGGTGGGGGGAGACGATTTTTTTTTTGGGGGGGGGGAGTAAGAATTGAAGAATGGTACAAGTTAACGACGTTTTGCCAGCCATGAACACAGAGACAGGAACAATGTTTGTCGTGATAAAGGTATGGAAATTCGACAGATTTGAACCTTCCCTGGGAGCAGGAGGAGGAGGAGGAGGAGGAAAAGGGGTGAGAAAAGAGAGAGAGGAGGAGGTAGTTGAGGAGGAGGAGGAGGAGGAGG